GTTCTCATTGCCGATGCCCTAGGAGCAAAGACTGCGACAACTAAGGAAGCTAAGACTCGCTTGATCCCCTACGTTGCTATCGGTACCGGTTTGAAGCACAGCTGGGCTCATGCGTGGGTTCAGGCCCGAAAGGATTTGGGTTTTGAGTTTGGCGACTTCGCTCAACCTGCTTGGCTTGACAATAAAGGATCTTGGGGCGAGGTGGCTATGGATGCTGCGCAAGCAACTTTCTTCTTGCAGGAGTTCCTCATGAAGGCGGGAATCGAGCAAGCGGAGGCCCTGAAGAGGTCTTCACATAGTCTTAAGGCTACTCTTACCACTTGGGCGTCCCGATGCCCAACGGTGGCTTTCAGTCGGGCAGAGCAGCGGTTGCTTGGGCATCACATGAAGCCTAAGGATCGATCGCCATTAACATACTCGCGGCAGGCTTTTACCAGCTTGTATGGCAAGGTGCTCCTCATGTTTCATCATATCCGTGACGGGAAGTATGATCCCGACTTGAACGAGGTTGGCAGGATCGTCGAGGTGGCCAAGGCGGGGTCTGCTAGTGCTGGTCAAGGCGGAGGCCTAAGCAATAACCCCGGAGCGCAAGTGGACAGCTCATCATCTGGTGAGTCGTCCGACGGCTCGGGAGATCGGGAGTCTGAGGCTGCGGGAGGCGAAGATCTTTTGCGCCGGGTGCCGTTTCGGGATCCCGTTGACCACTCCCTCCTAAAGGTTCATCGGCTGTCGGGCATCGTTCATCACTTGAAAGAGGGTGTGGATGCTCAGCAATTCTTCTGCGGTAGAATTTTAAGTGATCGGTATATGCCTTTCGCAAGGGCAGGCCCAGCTGCGGCCGATCCAGATTTTTGCTTGCAATGTCAGAAGGCCCGAGACGGCTGACGTGAGCCGAATCGTGAAAGAGAAAAAGTATGACGAGAGCTTGTTACGCGGAATCCAGGCGAGAAGCAGCGACCTCCTCTGGAGAACCGTCGCGCCTCGCAACCGCATGTGGAGCCCTGCCTGGCTGTCGAGTGGGGAAGCTTGTACCCTGCTCGATCGACGGCCAGAAACACCGGGGTGATGCTCGTCTGGTACGGTACAACTTTGTGACCGAACTGCATTAGGGAAAAAACCTCTAGATGCAACCTCGGCGTCGCAAGT